CTCCATCTGCAGAGCCGAGCGCTGAAATCCGAGCCGAGCTGGAACAAGTAGCAGTTTTCTGTTCCCTGAACTCCGCACCAGCCTCTTCCTCCAGGGACTGAACTCGGGGAGCAGCTTTGTGAGCAGGGTGCTGCGAGCTGTACRCGGCAGGCTGCTGTTTATCTTAGACCAAGCTTAAAACCTCCTCAAAAATCCCCCGAATTAGCTTTGCAGCCACGAGCTGATGCAGTTTTTTTACTTTGTGCTTTGGACAGGGGTTGTAGCTTTCCCTGAGCTCTGGGTGCGGTGTTAACAGTTCCAGAGACCAAGAGGATASGGTGACACCCAATGTAAAAACGTTTTCAGCTAGTTAAGGGATGACCATTATTTACCGAACTAAATAATATGCTGGTGTGAGTAAAAATTTTTAAATGGCAAAGTCAGAAAGGGCTACTCATGCCTAGGAATATATAAAATAAGAATCCTGACATATTTTATTGTGCAAAAATAAAAACAAAAGGAAAACTCCATCACTGACCTGCTCAGTGGAATATGTGCATTCATGGGGAATTTAATTATTGAAACCAAACTCAGCTATGTGCTTTTGCTTATAAAACTCTTGTGGGAGAGCTTCAGCAGACTTGARGGCAGGCATTGGCTGCATAGGCTTATGTCAGGGTTTTCTCTGCTAAAATCCAGATCTACTAGAACCATCAAGGTAAAATACATAGCAGACAATAAATGCCAAATACAGGTCCAGCACTTTCTCCAAGATGTTATGTACTGCAGATCCTGTAATCTGAACAAGTGTAATGCAGCCCAGTATTAATGACACTCTTACCTAAAAGACAAATTTATGTATTTCGTGTGRTACTTGCTGCAAATTTATTACTTTTTTACAGTTGAAAATATAAATATAAGAATATTAAATAAATTTACAAGAAACACTGCAAAGGCAATTAGCCAAATATTTAAAGCATTCACAGACATGTATTCCAGCTACTAGCATTCCAGTATGAGCTTTTACCAACATGCAGTTAAAACCCTGKGGATAAACACAACAAATACTTTAAATTCTCACCTTAAAAGCATAGTCAGAGTAATCTTGGACATAAGTGACTGAAAGAACTGAAAGAATCCACGTGTTGCCCACAGAACCACAACAGGGTTTGAGTACTGAAGAGGTTCATTTGCTGATCTAAAGRCAGCCCCAGACAGGAGGCATTTAAGCCAAGCTTTTTGTTGAGCAGTGTTTTCAGCAGTCCCTCTGCAAAAGCAAAGCCCTTCAGCATTCACCTGCTTCCCTTTACAGGGCCTGCTACTCTGCAGTCCAGCACCAGTTTGTCTCAGTTTGCTCTGGGAACACAGATTTGCCCCAGAACACGAATTTAAAAAACAGTGGCCACAGCTGCACAGCTGTGAGAGGAAGAAGAGGTAAAACCAGGGCTTAGACCAACTTCTGTTCAGGAGGAAACTTTCCAATGTTGTATGGACTTTCAGCTGCTTTACATGAAGAACCAAAATCCGTTTTTTTCAGGTAAATATCACAACAGAAATGAAATTTTGCTTCAGCAATCACTGAGCTAGGGTCTCAGGATTTGGTTTGCCAAACAAGAGGAAAAGCACAAGCAGAAATACTCAAAAATAGCTCAAAAGCTGCCCCTTAAAAAACAGCCGTGCAATGAAACAATTTCTCAGCTACTCAATATAGCAGCTGTCATTTATTGTTTCTCATTTTTCTTCAACCAGCCCCCTCCCCCCAAACTCCTCTACTTTCATCAYTGCAAATGAGAAGTGGCAGTGTGTTTAATGTCACCACTCAAGACAAATACTGCCCCTGGTTGTTCCTGATACTTCATTTAGCACTCCCTCATTCATGGCACTCTGCTTGAATTAAACCCAGTTCTTATCCCTCTACGGTGTACTAAAAGGCAGATAAAGGTTCAAGACCAACTGGGCTTATTATTTACAGTTCTGTATCTAATGAATGTRTTCAAACCACTGTAAGTGATCCAATTCCTGGACAAAGTTAATTAACTAAAGAAAAATGCAAACTTACAAGAAAAGTTACAAACAAAATACAAATTATTTTTCTATACATAGGAATATTTAAAATTATATTACAAGAAATAAATATAAAAGTATCATTGAGATGCTTAAAGGTTGATATTTTTCTGCTTATGTACATCACTACAGAGTTTACTACTAAAACGTACAAAAAGTTGAAGACAGTGTTGATAACATTTTTAAAGTTAGTATTGTTTGTATGCACAAGGTGTAACTTTCTACATTTATACAATACTACTAAGATTATATCCAGATAAACTTAATTGTAAGGAAAAAAGTCTAAACAAAACTTTAGTTTAAATGTAAAAAAAACCCTCAAAAAACCCCACTCTGATGAAGAAYCAAAACGGAAAGGTGCCAGCTGTAATCTGACATCCAAGACCTTGTCAAAATAGTAGGTTCTGTTTTAGTTTTGTTCTTTGTTTTTGTTTTTTTTTTAAATAATTGTCCTTGTCAATCCATTGCATGGCTGACTTGAAGTTCCAGTACCATATATTACATAAAACCAGTTCTTGGTCTGCTCACATTATGTAAAACTGCTAAAGTAAAACTCTACTTCACACTGTAAAACAGTGTGCTGTTTAAAAAGAAATCACATTTTCTCCATAGAACTTAGGCTTGCTCTCTTTGAAGTCCTTCTGAGTGAGATTTGGCTTTCTTGGCTGCCAGTATCATCCTTGTCTTGAAATACAATTTGTTTGCCTGAAAAGTCATGGAGACACACATCACCATTCTGTACAATGAAACAAACACCATTCTTCTCACTGGAAAGATGGCCTGTTGAAACAAAAAAAAGTGCAGCCCCTATCAGAAAAGTTCAGAATCAAAACTCCCGTGCTTTTTAACTCCCTGTAGGGAGTTCAYACACTCTCATTTTATCCCTGCAACAATATTAAAGTGTGGATTTTTCTGTACATATTTTGTATACATTTCTTCTCCTGTGTGAAATCCTGAGATTTGAGAGATGTTAATTTGTTTATGCACAATGGAATTCCATATTTTAAGCAATGAAGGTCACAATTCTCAGAAAGTGGACTTGACTTGGAATAACTATCACTAGATGAGATGCAAAATACGCCTCATTTTAATGTTTTGTTTTATCAAATTAAGTTTCAAAGGGATTCCAGGTAAGCCATGCACCTGGAAGAAGAAAGTGTTTGAGAAAACAAGGAATTTTTTTTGTGTTTGAAAGTAATTCAACTTASAGCATTTACTTCTGAAGGACAATCAGAATATGGCCCAGGTGTATCATGGGTCAAAACCATATTTAGACTGCAGAGAATCTCACACATTCAGGGAAATCCAGAATGAACACATAAAAACCACTGCTGACTGAAGCCTTTTAATGAAATGCTCCACAAATGTTCAGCTCACTGGATAAATCTCGTGCCTCTACGTATCACATCTTAATATTTTTAATGAGTATTTGTACTTTTTTATTCTAAGGATTTGTGCAAATGCTTCTCTTTGGATTTATTTTGAAATTTAGTTATTAATTTAAGCACTTAAACAGGCACACATGTAGACAGGGTAAGRTGAGCAGAAGAGCTTTGTCATCAATTCAAATAAAATTCTGAAATTCCAGAAAATAACCACGCTTGCTGACACTGTGATTGTTGTTTAACCCCTTGCCTGACTACTAATGTTTAATTTTAGGAGTGTTCAAAACATCTGTGCCCCAATGTTAGGGGAAAAAGCTGAGAGGAAGGTTTTTCTGTGAACAAATTCAGAAAGGTGCTTTGTGCTCCTCAGTGAGAAAATATGCAGCTTTTCAGCCATGTGATACCCAAAGGCAGTTTCCCAAACAGGCAAAGCTGCAAGAGAAAACCTGAAAATAAGGGAATATTAGAATGCCATGGAAAGATTAGGTCCAGTAGGACAGCAAAGCCAAAGTGACATTCCAAACTTGCCCCAGTAAGTTATTCAGTCCTGAATCTGGAACAGCACCTCACTGGAAGCAGTGAGGACAAAACCATAAAGTGTTTACAGCTTTTCACTTATGGCAYAGGTCTTCATTTCTAGAGTGGCTTTGGTTTTGGATGTCACTTTGTAAAATGATGCATGGCAGTGTTMTTTCCAAGTTCAAGCTTTGAGAACACAGCAATCAGGGTCCCATATTCCTATTTACCAGCAGTCTAATACCTTTTGGAGACATGAGCCCAGCTCTTCTGAGCTACAACTGCCCCTTGTTTGGAAGATTCAGTGCAAGGAATTGCCTCCAAGAGCTGTGCTAGGAGCTATCCAAGCTTAGGCTTAGCCTATTCTCATGAGAGTTCTAAGGACCCAGAAGGATTATTTAGTSTAACTATGCACACAAGGTATCATASAACCCTCTTGAGATGAATGGAGGATGTGATACAACGTTCACAGCATTCAAAATACACAAYAAATTAGGAAATGAGGTGGTCATCTGCAACACACAGGTTTGTAAGTGCACAGGAAAAAGGTTCTACTAAAGTTTTTTCAACTGTTTTTGTCTGAGAAGCTTTTGGCACAGGACACACAGACCCTCMCACTGGAAAGGTCTGATTATGTGAATGAAGTAGGACAGAATTGGAGCACATCCCACAGAATCAGCATCACTCAATGGTTTAGATCATCGATTTAGCATCTCACTCTAAAATGGCAAAAAAAAAACCCCCTTTTTCCAGAAAGACACAACAGGCTCATTCACTTGGTTGCTACAATAAACAAGTTCAATAGAACATTTCTGCTATCTTTCTTTCTGCAGAGAAAAGCAGACAAAATGCTTTTATTGCTGTGCATAAGCATGTCAAATGTTGCAGGGAGAGATGGCTTCTTTCATCAGAGTAATTAACACACCAGGGAAAAAAGAACCCTACAAGACAAACAGGCTCTAGAAATTTGAAAATGTCTCTCTTTGAAAGGAAATACTTCTRCCTAAAAATATTGCCTTACTTTGTATTTAATGACAGTGAGGGTTATTGGATTCTGGTTCTCAACTGACCAGTCAGATAAAAAATATATTAATTATTGTATTATGTGGTGTCCAAACAGGGACATTTTACAAATGCATGTTAAAAAAAAAAAGCTCAATTTAGAAAGCTGTTCAGGGTATGTCCAAATGCTGTCTCCTGAAATGTTCTGATTTTTTTGCAATATGCAGTTAGTTCCTCAAAGCAACAGTAACATCTAACCCACATTTGAATAACTTTTACTCTGAACATCTGAGAGTTTATCTGCTGATATCAGTTTGTTGTTTCTGTGTTGTTTCTGTGATAGCACAGGCCAAGGAATGAGAACAACACAGCCTCTCCAAGCATGTTCAACAGCTTCATAATAAACATTCCAGTTGATGACATGAATTCTCAGCCTCAGCTCTTCATCAGTTGGGAAAAATACCTCAGGCACACTGCACTAATGTCCTCTGAGTTTTTCTTGACTTAGGGTTTTATACATTAGAGATTTTTGGTTTTTTGAYTGAAAAATTGATTGTCTTTACTGAGAGCTCAAATCAGCAGCATGACATGTGCTCTGCAAGAGTGTGAAAAAAGATCAGTTTTAATAAGTACACTCAGTGGTGATTCATATCTAGTTTTCTCAGCAAACAAATAAGTCACAGCAATTTGCAAGTGAAATTGAGGGCAGGGTTATATTCACCTGCATTTCAACTTCTCTTCTCAGGAACAGAGGGCAGCAGTTTGGAGGAAATTCTACCTCAGAACAGGAAGGATGAGGAATTTTACTTCTGAAGAAATCTTATTTTGCATTCTACTTACCATTTCCATTTGCATGGACTGAATAATCATTATTCATTAAGAGTGTTGTAGAGTTGGTGGAGTTGCTGTTTGATTGTAAGGAATTGGAAGAACTGGATACTCCTTGATTTACAGTCTGCTTCTTTAAACCATTTGTAGCAGTTCTACTCCAGTCTACAACAGATACATGACACCAAAAATAACAACTCATACAAGTAATATACARTAATATAGTTAATAATGCAACTGAATTGATATCAAACCAAGGTTTTACACACTTCTAGCAGTATTCAGGATAGAATTATAGTCTCCTAAGAATTTAATGACTCYTGATGTTTAAAATTATTTAAATCTAGTGCCTTTTCTCTTGTCCWTTTTTAAAATGCAAGCAGCCAACTGTCATAGTTTTACAACTGCAGACCAGATCAGAAAAATAACTAAAGTGCAGTTGATCCTTTAAGTAAAAGTGTACAAAAGTATATAGCTTTACCAGAGGTCAAATACTGAGTAATAAAATAACATAAAATAGTTAATGTCTTTTTTTTTTTTTTTTTTAAACCACGTTTCAATTTGTTTTTGTGCAAGTTACTGGTAAAACCACAGTTGACCCAGAAGCTGGAACAAATCTTACCGTTTCTAACTGACCA